TGACAATTTATTGAGGTTCACTTGTGTTAATATTTTTATAAAGGTCGTCAGTAGAGCCAGATAGATTTTCTGCTTAATCTAAAAAATGTGGGTTTATATGAGACTGATATAGACCCGTACAGAATATTTCAGTGATTATTTAAATTCAATTCAATTCTTTATTATTAATGTGCCGAGTCAACAGCCGCAAGGCCAATTACAGACACAGCACAGTGCAGATGAATGAATTACATTATAGACAAACTTATTAAAAGTCAAATACAAATTACAGGTAAGTACTTGGAAGAAATAATAATGAATAAAAGTAAAAGTAAACAAACAAATAGCTGATAATTTCTGTAACAATCTTAATGGAAGTTAGGTAGAGGAGAGAGGTTAATATTAAACTATACCTTAAAGAAGAATATGTCTCAAAGATGAATCCAATTTCAATATCTTGGGAATAATAAAAATGAACCTTAGGCTAAAATAAACGACTGGGGATATCTTAACGTGGTGAGCGAATGTCTCGTTTAACGAAAGTATCTGCTTTCCATGAGATCCGAAGGGCTCGATGGTCGGGGTTCGATTTCCGTCAGACGTGAGAGACTGTCACTTATCAGATATTAGGGTTGCGACTATTAGACGGGTTTTGGATAGCACGCATTAGATATATTGACACCTTATACCCTTATACCTACACGTAATTAAAGCGCTATCGCTGATCTACACACTTCACACGCTAAGTCTTCTCAGTCTTCACTAGTCGTACCCTGGCAATGGAGTTATAACAGTCTCACTGCAACTGTTGCACCCTATGAAATCTCTTTGTTCAGCCAACTGTCAACTCCGGAGGTTCTCTCAATTCCAATTCCAGATGCGTGAGATCCTCGGGGCGGCCCCCACAGGAAACACCTCTTCCTTTACTGTTGTATGTTAACACACTGCTGCAAAATTGTATTAACCACAGCGTTGCCAACGTGTGCGACACTGACAACAGAAAACACCGCTCTTCTATAATTGGTGCGATCGTTTCCGCGGGAACGTGTTCACAGAGCCGTTGACAAGCAGTGAACTATGCCGGCTTTCAGGCATCATGTCACTCTTTTCAGGGCGTCCAGATCGGCACTGGGTCCCACGCAGCCCCCTATGCAATGTGTAAAGAGACTTTTTTCTAAGAGATAAAGCTGCAGGGGCATGAAGCTGATCATTCACCTACATCTAGTGCTCCATCTAGTTCTCCATACGTTTATTACGCACAGGGACAACTTCACCATATTTCTGCTGTTCATAAACTTAACTAGTAATGTTTAAAGACTGGAGTATTTTAAAGTAACTCATATGAATAATAACGTTTCTATATCACGTCCTTACCGTTGCTGTTATTCATCTACGTATATACAGACACTACACGTATACAACATATCACGTACATAATTAGATCATAACTCTTTGCTCCATCACCCATTACTCGCTTTCCATACATAGAGAAGACGAGTTTTACATCCGTAGAGAAACCTTTGTACATCACCACATGCACCTCACGTACAGTGATCTAGTAGAAGAATGCATTTTTATCGGCTGCAGAATATTACATTGTAACTAAACTTAAGACATCCACTAGATATGTGTACATTTTATTTCTTAAAATTTCGTTATTTGTAATGCTATATTAGAAAAGAGAGGCGGGATAGTGCAGTCTGTATAGCGACTGGCTACGAGCTGAACGACTGAGAGGTCGGAGTTCTAGTCCCGGTGGGATCAAGAATTGTCACTTCTACATGTCATCCATATCAACTTTGGGGCCCACCCAGCCTGCTCTACAATGGGTACCTATAGCTCTTTCCCAGAGAGTAAAGCGGCCGGGGAGTGAAACTGACCACTCACCTCGAACTAGTGCCGAGGTCAAGAAAACGTGGGTCTGTACATCCGCTCTTCCATACGTCTTCACGGAGTAGTGCTTAATTAGTTAACAAAGGGACAACTTTACCTTATATCAGAAAGAAAACTGTCAAAGAAGCTCTTCCTTTACTACACAAAATATTTACTGAACCGTCGAAATTGCGTGGACGCTGGGTTTTGTAACACAGTTTCAGTAACACAAAATTTGTACACATTTAGGTTCAGTTAATACTGAAATGTGACTAGGGATGAAAGTAATTAGGAAAGTACCTGAACTTGATCTATTAATATAGCATAAGGCTTGTGTGTTATATGAACTTATTTGTGGCTTACTTAAGGAAGCTGTTAGTAGCTCCAATAAAGAAGAATTGAATGGTAAGTTAAGAAAGAAGTTACCTAATTAAGCACTAGGCCATGAAGGTTTATGGGGAATGGATATATAGATTCACATTTTCTTGATCTAGGCACTAGGTGAAGGTGAGTGGTTAGCTTCACCCTCAAACCGTTTTAACCCCGGGAAAGAGCCCCAGTACATATTGGATAGGGGACTGGGGCCGCCCAAGAGCTGGTCTGGATTACGTGGAGAAGAGGAAATTCTTGACCCCACCAGAATTCGAACCCCGACCCTTATGTCGTCCAACCAATAGCCAGTCATTATACCGACTGAGCTACCCCGGCTGGAATGGTAATATTAATATTGAATTGACAAATTCATGCAATGAAGCGGTCGTGGCTTATTTTCAAATAATATCCAGAAATGCACAAGGAGATATTAAATAGGCCTAGAAAGCAGCTCAGCCAGGATAGTTTTGTCCCAACTGGGATTGGAACCCGATACCTCCCACGTATTTGAGAAGCATAACTCTCTGAGCCAGCTTACTCGGTCTTATCTGTTCTGAAGCGAGAACCTTCTAACAGTCAGCATTTTTTAGCCACTCTCTCCTTAGCTCAGATAAAGATTTACTTGAAACACATAGACATGTGAGATATTAAGCATTCCAGCGAAGCAGGGTCCGTGTTGCTGAGATAAGTATCTTAATTTATTAAATTAATTTTAAAATGTGAAATTTAGGAGCTAGAACCAGGAACACTGCCCCACGCTGTGACTGTGTAATGAACGGTAAAATTTCCACTCAAACTGCACAACATCGTCCGCTGGCTATGTCACTTTCACTATCCACTTTCACTTTTGCTAAAATTTAGCAGTGATATCATGAGCTGTATACACGACTAAACTGTCTTATTTTTTTTTCTTTTCAGATAAATTGAAAATGAAAGTATTTAAACAGTCCGCAGTCCCCTGGTGTTCATGGGGTTACTGTGATCATGAGCCCCAACGAGCACTGCCGCAGTCTCCTGTCTCCTCTCTAACCACCCCACGAAATGCCGCACACCCCAGGGACCCAGATAATGTCCGGCAAAGTTTAGAAAGGAAAGGAAATAACTTCTAGTATCATTTCCTGGGTTTAATGCCGCTTATTTCAGCTCTATCTGAATATCACAATTTCCCCTCGGTTTTCTTTGACGAAAATAAGACCTTCATATATCAGAAAATAATTTCCGAGCAAGTAAGCCCTACTTACATTCGTTTCATAGAACAAACACAATGGTTAATATAAAGCATGGACCAATTTACAGTCATTTCGAGATGCAAGTTTGAAAAGAACCGGTGTATCTCGGACAGTACAGCGATTATGCTATGGGCTGGACAGCGGGGATTCGAGCCCCAGCAGGTGTGGACATTCCTAATTTTACCACTACCTCCAGACCGGCCATGGGCTCCACCCAATGGGGGTACAGATTAGGACTGCGAAGATGATCACTCACTTTCGTCAAGAGCCAAACGTAAGATGCATTAAATTATATACCACCTCATATCGTTATATTGGAAAAAGTCTAAGGGTCGAAAATATTCAACTTAAGGAAAGAAAAGAAACCCAAGCTCTCTGACATGAAAGATACTTATAGCCAGGGCTTCAGAGACTGGAAAAGAAAAATTTTTATGTTACATAATTTTCCTATGAAATTTTGTACGGTTCACCGTCGTTTGGTGACTGGTTTGATCAAAGAACTGCTAGACAGCGGCTCAGCAGAATTCCAAAATTTGTTGTAAACCATAGCATCCAATGTGAAAATAAATTTTAATGTGTGCGTTGATCATGATATTTCATGGATACATTACTGAGAGAAAAGCATAATTTTGTTGGCACAGACAGATAGATGCAGGAGTATGGTGAAGCTGATTCACTTTCAGATACAGAACTCGGGGGAGAAACAAAGAGTGGCCTACGAATTACATTTAATGAAATACCGTCTTACAAAAATGTTAGGGGCAGTGTGCACGCAGATTCGTGCATCCATCATCTGCTGTGAGTCCATTTTGTGGTAGTATTAATAGTCGATGCACAATAATTAATTTGTGGCGTGTTCAAGTTCGTAAATCAATTCTGACACCAAATTGTCACGTGTTGGGTGTGTGACACGCGACAATATAATACACAGTATATATTATATACAAATATATATATTGGGGGCACGCGGTAGCGCAGTTGGTTGAGGCACTATGCTACAAGCCAGAAGGACGCGGGTTCAAGTCCCGATGAGGTCACTGAATTTTTTTCAATTAACCTAATCCTTCCAGCGGCACTATGGCCCTGGGGTTCACTCAGCCTCTAACAGAAATGACTACCAGGAATTAATTAAATAATTTTCCTGGGGAGTAAAGTGCGGCCGGCGCGTAAGGCTGACAACCTTACCGCCATCTGTGAGCCGATTGTCTAGATAATGTGGGACCCTCAACGTCTCACAACCCTATGGGCCTTCACGGCCTGGTATAGGGATAGCCTTACTTTTACTTTTTTACAAATATATATTTATTTATTTATTTATTTATTTATAAGATAAGATAACTCATCATTTCACGAGCAAAAAGCGGTTCTTAAAAAGGTTTTTGATCTCCAAGCTATCCGAGGTCAGATGCATATTTTAACCTCCGCTCCAGATTTCAACTGATGCCACAGAACACGAAGCGAAAATGCCTCTAGCTACGAAGTGTATACTTGATCAACTCAATGCCCTAGTATGTGTATAAGAACGCACTTCCCCATGAAGCCACTCACCCAGAGAAGACTCACGTGTACCGAGCACAGAAGCAAGCCGGGGTCGCTCCTCTTCCAAAATGGTCTCTGCCTCCTGGCGGTACAGCTGGAACATGGTAGCTACACACTGAACCCTCAGTTTGCCCGTCTGGAAGATACTGCTGTCCATATCAAGCTCCAGTCCGATTGTCGTCACTTTCCGCGACTGCGGGTCGTCGCTCCTGACCGCATCCTGCTTCGAGAAACTCGCGTTCATCTGCAATCATGAAATTCACGGCATCATTTTCAGCTCCAACTCAAATGAGCCTGTATCTTGTACACTGATGTTAAAACCGGGCGAAAGAGAATCCCTTGCTACTGCAACCTGAAACGAATCCCTTCTAGGTCTGTAGGTTCCTGACGCTGATGATGATAGCTTAATATGGGGCAATGATGGTAAGATACTAACGAGAAGTAGAACAGATGCACTAGGAAAAGAATCTGTCCTAGTTCGCGGTGCCAAGTTGTCTATTACGAATCTCATATCAACAGGATTACACGGTAGCATAGTTGGTTGAGGCACTATGCTACAAGCTGGAAGATGGCAGGTTCAAATCCCGATGCAGTGGGTTTTTTTAAATTCACCTAATCCTTCCAGCCGCACTACGGTCCTGGGGTCGACACATCCTCTAACAGAAATGAGTAACAGGAATCTTCCTGGGGAGTAAAGCACGGCCGGCCCGTGAGGCTGACAACCTTACCGCCATCTGTGAGTCGATTATCTAGATAATGTGGGAACTTCAACGTCTCACAACCTTATGGGCCTTCATGGCCTCTTACAGGGATAGCTATACCTTTACCGTCTATATCATCAGGATTAAGCTCGGACCTGGGTGAAGAGAAGACGATGATTATCACATGAGCTTAAACGTAAAGGTAAGGGCGAAGCTGACTCTATGCTTAATTAATTAAGCACTACGTCATAAAGACATATGGGGAATTAGAGGTATAGCTCCATTATTCTTGATCTCAATACTAGAAGGAGAAGAATGGTCAGCTTCAAGCCCTGACCACTTTATCCCTTGGATGAAAGCCCCAGTACCCATTGGATAGAGAGTTGGGCGAGCCCCAGAGCCGATCTGAACTATGTGTAAAGGAGCTCTTACCCTCCCCAGGAATGGGATTCTAGCAGCCCAACTCCGTAGCTATACAGACTGTGCAGCGCCGGTTCTTATCATTTGAGCTAGATATTCAAATATTTAATCTGGTTATTGTAGCGTCTGATATTCATATGATACTTGTACTCAATATTTCAGGCATATATAACGGTTGCAAAAAGTTCCATGTGTTAATTAAAACTATTGTTGTAAAGAAGAATATTTTTCTCTTACTCTTGAGGATTTTAAGTTCAATATAACTGAAATAGTTCCCGTAGGAGCAAGGGATTGCCAACGTATAAAGAACAAGCCATTTTTTGCAAATCGTAAGTATTGTTTCTCATGTCCAGTGGAAAATGTATAGCTATCTTCAATATACGCGGAAATGTCAAAACGAAACTTCTATACTTCCTACAAAGAAATCGGATTTTTAGTCAAATGCATGCTGTAAAAGGCCCTGAAGTCGATCTTGTACTGAGTTTACATTTAATGTAGGATTGAAATTCAAAACTAGCTCTGCTCGTATATTCATCTCCTACTGCTGGTCCTCCGAAACATCGGTTGAATATAAACTGACTGCAAGCCATTATAACCAAGACGATAGAACTCTCTTCAGAAACCGCAGTGAGAAGTTCAGTTCCACCATGTTCTATTGAGTGTTCATCAATAAATATCTTAAGTCCTACATAACTCCGTCTCCTCTGAAACACATGTAAGGGATTTATTTAATAGCATATGTACTGCGTCGGTTCTTCACCTTACCAGTTCATCTAACTCCAGTAATCATAAGCATAACATACCAGTATCGGGCTTATTACCCGAGTTCATTCATTCATCAATGGCTCTACAGCCCTTTGTTGGGCCCTTGCCTCTTCTGCAGTTTTGCAATTACATTTATACAGACGGTACGACTCCTTGGACGGTGGATCAGCCCCCAGAAGAGCTGTTACCTACATACAGGACAAATCAAACACAGAATAAACGCAGACACAAACATCTATGCCTTTGAGTGGAATTCGAACCTACGATCCTAGCATTCAAGCAAGCCACCGTGATCGGCTTTATTACCCTACTCCCTTGCATAATTTTACGACTACTTTGCACTGTGCTGCCCAAACCAGTAATTCCAGACCTTTCCTCTGACTGCCGTTGTAGCTGACAGGCGTCGGCCGTATCGAAACAACATCCGATGACAAATTTCTCTCGTGTTGATAACTTCGATGTATCAAGGATGAGTGACCTAATTCACTTCTCTTGGTGCAGGACTGATACATGTCTCCAGCGACAGACGTTTACATCTTTCATGATTCTCAAATGAAATATCTTCCAGGGGCTCTTAGTTTAAGGTCAACATGCAATGATTTCCCACTAAAGTATAAGTGAAGGCTAAACGGAAGAGTGGTTGCAGCAATAAACATCAACTGCATCAACAGATCAATAATTGCGGCCGTACTCCTGGGTCGAAACACGACACCGCACAGGCTACTGAAGAACAAGTGAATGTTAAGATTCACTCTCCGCCACTTTGCCTCGCTAAGGACTGGGTAGGGAGCTTGTGAGACCTGAACCCAGTCTTGATGTCGTGACAAAGAGAACATTTCTGCTCCTGCCTGGATATAACTCAGTACTTTCATCAGGTACCCGCTGAACTACTGAATTATTCCGGGTATGGAAAAACATACGTAAATTTACTTTCGATAAAATTTAGTGTTCAAAACCAGAATAGGTCATTATTTAATTCATTAGTGTCGATGCAGCGAAATCTAGTGCGTCTTGGTTCTATAAGAGGACATATGAAGTTAATGAGGGCAAATGGTTTTAATTCTTTATTGTGTCAGCGAAACAAAAATCCTTCCTTAATAGAGAGTAAAATTTAACTATTTAAGTTTTCCAAACAGTACAGATATATTGGGCAAGGAAATATGTCATAAAAAATATGTGCAGTAGTAAACCAGAATGAAAAGGTGTGACGTCACGTTCTATTGATTACACATAACTCATCAACGTAATTCGCGGCGGAATTATATCTAGAATCTTCCAACTGCGTAAGGTCAAGTATTAACAATTCTGTGCAAGACAAATAGAATCCGAGACAGATGACAGTTGACGGGAGCCACAGAGAGATGATAATGTTACCTGACAGGCAACTCCACGTCAGACATCACAGTGTAATGTCTGTTCCAGGACAACGCGACTGCAAATCACGGCATTATGTCGACAATCAATCACCGCCCATTGGTATGCATATGCTATTGTTAAATGTTACCTTCAGATCCTATGTGATAAAGGCGATAGTTGGACGGGGGAAACGGTTCTTAGACTCAAGTGATATTCTTAATCAGCCAAGTGGACTATCCTGGGAAGTTAATTAAATATTCGTTGAAAACCAGATACCGGCATTTCATAACCCTTACAACATGCTAAGCTAATGCTATGATGCATATAAAATGCGCTCTAAAATGTGTCTAAACGATGCATTACTAGGATCGCTACAAGTGAACCTATATCTCATCGATTTCTATACATAATCAACGGTTAAAGGTGATTTATCATGGACTAGGTTCTTCTGGGATACGTGTTCTGTAGTTTGGTATCCTGAAGATAGAGGCAACAGGTTCCTAGAGATTTGAAGGTTGAGGCAGCAGATTCCTTCGGAACGTTGTACCAAATCACACGGAGTCACGTCCCAGGAGACTGTACTCTTTATATTCGCTGCAGTGACAATCTCACAGAAGGGATAAGAACCAGATCGAATAAGTCAACATTTGACCTATATCGATAAAATTATTTTACTGCGGAAAAGTATACAGAAAAACAAAATCTCTGTTAGACGCTAATTAGGAGAGCGACATAGGAATAAATGAAGAGAGAATTAAATATATGTCCACATCTCGTAAACGAATGTGCAACAAATTCATAACAAATAATCTGAAAATATAGCAAATTCATATATTTTTGGACCGACTGAAGGAAACATAAATTCACTCACGATGAAATTAAAAGCAGATCGGAGTAGAGGGCCTCTTGCCAACCATCAGTTCGGAATCTCTTGCCTCCTCGTCTGCAGTGTAGGAAAGTAAAGATTAAATTGTAAAAAACTATCTACAAATTTACCTCCTGTCTGGATGGGCATCAGACGTGGTTTCTCATATTAAGGGAAAAATATACTCGTATATAGGGAATATCTGAGAACAGGGTAGTGATGAAAATATTTGGGCCTAAGCTGTGAAATGGGGCTTGGAAAAATTAAGTAAATAGAAGCTTTATAATGTTACTCTTCACTGAAGATTATTACGACGTAAGAAACGGGGGATTCATTCAATTTTCTTTTGTCGGAAACTTGGATGGATGATACCACTTCTAAAGCTTGGGCTTAAATGAGACAGCAGTGTTAATAAAGCGTTTAAAGAAACGGTGTGGAAATGTATGAACTAGGTTCCTTTGGTTCAGGAGAGACATAAATATTTTCTCGGTGTTGAACACGCATTAAACCGAAAGAAGAGTGGACCTTAAATGAGGTTGCAGGAGCGCAAATGCTTCAACTGAGCATCGAAAATTTGAACTTCCTTTCAAAACCTACATTCTTACCTACTTTGTTTCTTTCGTGAATATACACTACTTCTTTATAACATTCTTGAGAGATTTAAATTCATACCAGAATATGCCAATGAGCCAGGTTGAAATCCTCGCCAGCGACAGGTTACTCTTTTTCGATCTTCCAATACAGTCCTTCGGCTTTGCCATGGAAAAGAGTTCAGAGAATGGGGAAAGTCGGTGATGTTGTTCCCGCCCTCTAGGTACGAATAACGGAGTAGTCCCGCGAGCGTAGTGACAATTCTGATAGTGAAGGGTTGTCAGAACTGCACGACACAATGTGAAGGACTCCTAGGTACATTTTTCCGGGTTTCTCAAGGAGGGAACGGGAACTATGTTTATATGCAGACATAGACCCCTTACTATCACTTCAAAAATCGTTGCGCCGAATCTCCAGCTCGGATGCCATATCTAATATGCTCCGTCGAGACCATACGTTCCTCTGAAACGTCGGTTTACACAATATCTACACGGCGCTACATCCCAGAAGATAGAATTCTTGTTAGTCACTGCCGCGAAAACCTCA